GGCCATATTGCAATATTTTGGTTATATTGCCGAATGTGGCTGGCAAGTTGCGAGCCATCATCCGGCCATATGATGCCGCCTACAAAATGCCGAAAATTATGGCCCGTGTAGACGACCTATTAGGAAGATCATTCGACTCTTTATCTTTCCAAAATAGATACCTATAGTCAACGCCAAACAAAGTGGCGTGCACGTCATCAAGGTGGGTGTGTTGAAAAATTTACATTGTTGCCAAACTTTTTGTAAAATAATAAAATTTATTATTTACATATCTAGGTTTACAAGCAATATTAACCTCAAATGAGAACAAAAATAATAGTATAATAAAATTATAGATCTGTACTTGCATAATCATTAAGTATGACAATTATTGATCAGATGACACTATGAAACTACCATATTTAATTGATAGCTTAAAGGTACTGAATAAAAATCCAAATGGAGTCCTCCAAATTTTATGCATGGTATTTATTATATACAGAATTCATACAGAAAAATGCATTCTAAAATTAGGTAAGCTACTGGTGTAAGCTGTTTCTGTTTACAATAAAGTTAGTCGGAGTTTCTTTCTTCAGCGCTGTCTGAATCTGAATCTTCATCACTCTCAAAGTTGATTATTAAAGGTTCGATGTCTGGTCGATCAAAAATTCGTTCTCTTTCATACCATTTAAAAATTTCTTGCTCAGTATCTCGAACACTATTTTTCCACATGTCTGGGGTAACCGTTTGTAGAGCCTCGTTCCACATATCCAAACAGTATTTTTCACTGTTACCATCTCTACCAATATGTCTGTTATAGTAACCTTTTGCTATGCCCCAAATTAACTCAATAGGGTTAAATATACAATGGTAAGGAGGCAGACGAAGAACTTTGTGCCCATGTTGTTCCGCCAATTCATCAATCACGTATATTTTAGGTGGTTTGTTTCTAAAAAAGCAGTTATTTTAAGAATAGGAATAAACAAAAGAAATATAAACTGTCGACCAAAATATATATAATTAAGAAGCATTATGTACCGAGCAACAATACTCAATAGCTCTGTTTTAAACATTGTGTTTAAAAATGGTATGTTTTGATTTGTCAACCAGTCTTGGATATTTTTTTTTGTCCATGCATTGTTGGGCACTTTGTTCAATATCATGCTGTGATAAGGGGCGTTATCCAGTATAATCATAGATGGACTCTCCAATTTTTCTAATAACTGATGTTGAAACCATTTCAAAAAATTGTCCTGGTTCATCTCTCCATGGTAATCGCTCAATTTTGTTTTCGAAGAAAATATCGCTTCACTACCCTCAATAAACCCATTTTCATTTCCAGCATGTAATATAATGTATCTAAAATATATTAGTTTTAAATTTTATAGTGCAAATTGTGTAAAAGTACATACCTTTTACCATCTGTTTTAATAGCTTTCACGCTTTTTTGGTTTCCATTTTGCCAAGAGCGACCTATGGTCCCATTTTGAAATATCCAAGTTTCATCGAGGAAGACAAACTGGTATAAGGCCTCAACCTTGGCTTGATTGTATTGCCTTAGAAATTCCACCCTTTTCAAAGCTATACTTGGTAGTTCCATGAGCCCTCGTCGCGGATTGTCCTTAAAGACGTGGCACTACCATCAAATAATGCCCTATCTCTTAATCGAGACCATAAAGTTTGTATCGTAACTTGTTCTTCTGAAACCATGTGTAATATGACATTATAATTTAGTTAACAAATTAATGCAAATTTCTGATAAGTTATTATAATAAGATCTTACTTTTGTGATACATATTATAGATCACTTCTCGAATGGCACTTGTATCCAATGTCGCTGTGTTGGTTACACGTTTAATATAACTCCGCTTTTTCTTGGGCGATTGTAAATTTGCATCACTTTTCACACCCTCGGAAATACGACTAACTGTCCTTAAACTAATTTTTAAAGCAGCAGCAACACGCTACAAAAAATGAAATAAAATTTCACTATTATTAATATACATTACATATAATTATTAGTAACCTACCTCTTGAACAGCATTTAAAGGCAACAAAGGCCCGTTGTTGTCCCTTTCTTGCTCAAAGTAGTGCATTAACGAGGCCACGAGTTCCTTACACCGACTATTTAACTGTTTGGGCATCTTTATATACCAAAATTGCCTTTATCTACTCGTAAAATGAATAATTTTGTTTTGAAACAAACAGTTGTTGATTTACAGTATGCGGGGCCAAAGGATTTATAAAGATTTGAAATGCCACAAATTGATTCAGTGTCAAAATTAATATAAATGTCAGTTCCCAGTTTAAATAAGTTTCAAGGTGACAATGTGTCAACGCTGCGAAATCGGTTTAGTGCGTTTACATGTCGATAAGTGATTGGAGCGTTTGCAAAACATTTTATTTCGCATAATGCGTCTAAATTTATCAGAAAGCAACTTATGTGATATTTTAATAACAATGTTTATATGACTATTAACCATAATAAGAGAGTAATGACCATTTTACAATTTATATATCACATTAATATGAAACTGCAATAGAGCAATTGTTTGTGATAGAAACCTAGGCATTAGGTCGGGGAATTTTTATCGTGATGACGTGCACGCCACTTTGTTTGGCGTTGACTATATGCAGTTTTGTATGCGATATCACGATGGTTTATATCTGCAAAAAAGATGCATAGATTCAAGACACATTAAAAAATTTACACCTTGGTGTACAATTTTATAATGATATTTTTCTGAAACTTATAGGCTAAGGTTCCCACTAATATAAAAAAAATACCAGATAGGGCAGGGCATGTTTAAACTCAATTTCAGAGCATTTACACATTATACATACTAGTAGCCTGACACTAGGCAATCCAAAGTCTGACAATGATTTGTGAACAGCCATCTCCGACATCAACAATGCAGTTACACTTGGGATCCAATGTTTCTTACCCAACATCTCATAAAGTCGTGAGAACGTACCACATCTGAAAAAAATGAGTTAAGTATATACAATGAATATGCAATGCTTAAAAATTTTGTAACTTACCAGCTTCATCAAGGAACAGCTTGGTTGTAAGCTGTAGGCAAATATATACTAAGTGACATATAAATCCGAACACCCAGTTTAAATGGTTTTATTTTAATAAAATTTTGTATAAGTACTAAAGAAGCATAATAAGTAAATGATAAAAATTTCAAAATGATTGCACTGCTTCAAAGCCCTTTGACCTTTAATAATGTGTGGATGCACCCTGATGTGCTACGCATTCTCCAACGCGCCTAGGCATGCTTCTGATCAGGTGGTCAATGTCCTTCTGTGGTATCTCATTCCAGGCAACCACCAACTCCTCTCGAAGTGCTTCTAGAGTCTGAGGAGGACGTTGCAAATTGAGCAATCTCCTACCCATCATATCCCACACGTGCTCAATTGGGGATAAGTCGGGAGATCTTGGTGGCCATGGTAACAATGTGACATCATTATGTTGAAAGAAGTCTATTGTGACTCTTGCAACATGTGGTCGGGCATTATCTTGTTGGAAAGTTGGATCTGCCAGGGTGTCAAGATAGGGTAAAAGATGGGGTTCTAGAACTTCGTGGATATAACGCTGTGCGTTCATGTTACCTCTGATGAAGATTAAAGGTGACCTGGAACCATAAGCTATAGCACCCCAAACCATAACTCCAACAGTGTGATGAACATGTCTTTCAACAAAAAACTGTGGATTCCTCCTTTCACCACGTCGCCTTCTAACCCTGGCACGACCATCGTGCATGCCTAAACAAAATCGAGACTCGTCACTAAAGACAATACTGTTCCATTCCTGATCCCAGAGTGACCGTTGTCTGCACCACTCAAGGCGATTACGTCGGTGTTCTCGAGTTAAAGGGAGGACCCAGTGTGGCCGGTATGAAAACAAGCCAAAACTTCTCATTCGTCGGTAAACACTTCGCATGCCAATAGGTCTTCCGTGTTCTGCAAACCATTCATTTGCAATGGACCTGGTAGTGGAGAAACGGTCCCTTAAGGCCAATAATCTTAGGCGGCGATCTTCACGGTCTGTTGTTCTACGGCGGCGTCCAGTGCCCCTTGCTCTTTGCGTACGGCCTTCTCGAAGCCATGCCTGACAACACCTAACCACAGTGTCTACACTTCTTTGCACTCTAACTGCAATTGCCCGAAAAGAAAGTCCAGCTTCCCGAAGTCCCACTATACGGCCCCTATCAAACTCACTAAGTTGACGAAATCGTACAGGTCTGCGTACTCTAGGCATCGTAACCGATCATAAAGGATGTCAAGAACCAAAATCCGCCAACGTTGATTCTTTACTGCGGCTGAAATATTCATTTTTAGAGCGTTAGTGAATTAAAAAAAAGCAGTATAAAATCCGGAATGTCCAACTGATAATGCTGAAAATTTTTTCACTTGTTATTTACAGTAAGATAAATACATTCACCAACTTTTATTAAAATAAAATCATTTAAACTGGGTGTTCGGATTTATATGTCACTTAGTATATATATAAATACACATCAATTTGCATTAAATTGTTGATTTTAGATCATTAGTATCAGATATGGGACTTGAAGATACCACAGCATGACGAAATTGTTCAATGTAGGAAATTATTATTGAATGATCAACATTATTTGCAAGAAAATATCCTTCGGCATTTGATTCTTGTCTAAAATTTCAGACGTCAAAAAAGAAACATAACCTAATATCACAATTGACTTCTGATTGACAGCAGACTAGAAATGAAAAGCAGGACATACATGTACCTTATCGAAGAAGACTTCATATTATCGAAATCAAGGAGGCCATAAACGCGCCCTACAATTGTAGGGACGACTGACGATACGGGCCTAAATCGGCCAATTGTTTTGGATACATGCATGAGATGCTTTTTAGTTTTTGATTGTCAAATTGAATTATTATGGACTATTCATTCGGTTATTATATCTCCCTATGGGAGGACAATAGTAACTTTTTTCATAGTCTGGTGCATATTTTGAGTTTATTTTTAGGAATAAAACAGATCCTGATGGTTTAATGCCTGAAGAAATGGATGTAATGGAAACTGCAGTTGAAGCACTCACTGCTATTATACAACATCCCCATACACATAGATACAAAAACAATGTAACAAAATATGCCGCCAATATTTTGTATAAATTTGATAAAATACTGGCCGCAGAAAGAAGTTTACCAGAACTGAACAAGGTAAATGAAGCAATTTGATGAGTAACTGCACACTCATTTTGTGTACTTCTTACCAATATATTGCGCAAATTAGCTGCAGTAAACCTACAACCCATGCTGTTCTGAAAAAAAATGACCATATATTTTTTTATTCCAGGACGTTGTGGCTATACTTTATGGATTAATTATTACTATTGCGGACTCACATTCAAAAATATTTATAGAAAATTTGAAATCTCAGAACCAGGAAGAGCAGCGTATTGCATTTGATTTATTGAATTCAATTTTGAAGTGCACCAACCTACCCGGATTGTACCCTGTAGATGAATCAAGCAGTACCTTAACTTTTGGGTTTTGGTATACCTTACAGGTAGATATAGTAGTATTAGATAAACTCAAAAGATATCTTCAATATAATTTATATTGTGACAGACGAATATAGTAGTAATACATAAATTTCAAACAACGTTCACATGGCATGCCAAAAGAAAAGTAGCATAGTTAAAGTACCGCAATAAATATGAATATAATGCAGTGCGAACTAACAGTGTTTGTTACACCACACTATAAACAAAAACATGATAAAAATACAAGTTCATTATGACTAGATTATATAGGCAATAAGCTAACCAGTATTTTTGTTATAGTAGTGATTAAAGTCAAAACACGAGTAAAACAGCTACTTGTTAAACCACTATATAAAAAATTTAAAATAAAAACATATTGCTTCCTGATTCGGAAAATTTAAAAATTATTTTAAAGAGTAAAAACATTTCTCACTTAAATACTCAAAAACCTTATTTTTAAATTTGATATAGCTCTCGCAAATCCTGAGGTATTATACAATTATATATTACACAATGATGTGTAGTTGAGTTGGGTAACTTTGTACAGGGTGACCCATCTATGTGTGGACGGAATATTACTCATAAACAAATACATTTTGGGAAAATCTGTTTATGGGATGTTATACATGACATTCGAGAGCACATTTCTAAAATATTGGCCATTATACAGGGTGTCCCAGTTTCGACCTACATATCAAAGTTGTTATTTTTCAAATGGAATGCGTCAAATTTTATTGCATAATTTGGATAAACCTATTCAAAAGAAGAAAATTGATAACATACTATAAGGTTTTGGTAATTAGCTACCGAGATATAAGGTGTTTTGTCTAGAAAAACCCCCCAGTCCGCCATTTTGAAATTTGGAGTGCTGGATTTTATATAAAAAAACTTACACACCTCAGCTTTTATCTTATTGGTTACTTTTTCGAATTTTAATTTTTGCTCATACAGTGTGGTCAAAAACGCAAATTGTAGTTTTTCTCAAAAATTCATATGCATCACCATGTATATTTGTGCAAGTTTGGATTCAATTTTTTATAAGCTTTCTTTTGATAATAGACTCATAAGGGTTTTTACGGATATTTTTTCGGTTATTAGCACGTCTTTCATGGAACGGCTTAAATCCCTAAAATATAATTGGAAACAAATAAATTGTTGATTAGTTACAAACTGTAAAAATTAGCTTATGAGCATTATAATAAAAACGTGTTTGAAAATGAATTTTTATAAAGAAAATGGTGAATATGGTGTTCGTTCCTAGCATCTCGCATTTATAAGCAACGGTACCCTAATATGCGACATCCAAGGGCGGAAACACTACGAGAACGTTTTGAATCAAATGAGGCGAATCGGTTGGAGATTCTATTAAAGTTGCAGGAAAATCCCCATTTAAGTGCACGGCAAATTGGAGCAGAAACATATATATGCAGAACTTCTGTCCAAAGAATTATTCACAAGCATAGGTACCATCCATATCACCTATGCTTGCATCAAGGCCTTCGTCCTCAGGATTTCGCAGCTTGAATGGACTTTAGTAGAATAATGCTAAATCAAGTGAGTGAATACACTACTTTCCTGGATAAGGTTCTTTTTAACGATGAGCCAACTTTTAACAGCATAGGTGTTGTCAACAGGCATAACATGCACTATTATGCGACGGAAAACCCTTACTGGGTTAGGCAAATAGATTTCCAAAATAAATGGAGCTGGAATGTTTGGGGAGGAGTTATTTGCAGACAAGTTATCGGGCCTTTCTTTTTCGACATCAGATTAACAGGTACGGAGTACTTGAATTTTTTGATCGAGTATTTGCCTTTGCTTTTGCAGGATGTCAACCTGCAAACTCGGATGCATATGTACTTCCAACATGACGGCGCACTTGCGCATTATCATACCCGTGTGCGTAACTATTTGGACACCTGGAGCAACAATCGTTGGATCGGTCGCGATGGGCCTATATCTTGGCCTCCTAGATCACCAGATATGACACCGATGGACTTCTTTCTATAGGGCTACGTTAAGCAAGAGGTTTCTAGGTATCCACCATCTACCCCGGAAAATATGAAGGAAAGGATTAAGGATGCTTTTCTGAACATAAGGGAACACATTCTGAGGGATGTTCAACGGTCATTTATCCAAAGACTACGGCTGTGTTTTGGTAGATTAGATCTTGATTAGTGATAGTTGTTTGTTTATGTATTTCTCTATCACACTTGAAGCTGATTTATACTGTTCTGATTGTTACTAGTTTTTACGTCAAGTCTCTAGTCTTAGTGGCAATTTGGAACTAGCCCACTGTTTGTCTTTTGTTTCCATGGATGATGTGATTTTTCTCCTTAATTTTGGTGTGTTTTTAAAAGCTTAATAACTGAAAATCTAGTGATTTTATCTGAATCAAACCTTATACCAAAAAAAGCTTATAAAAAATTGAATCCAAACTTGCACAATTATACAGGGTGATGCATTTGAAATTTTTGAGTACAATTCGCGTTTTTGACCACCCTGTATGAGCAAAAATTAAAATTCGAAAAAGTAACAAATAAGTTAAAAGCTGAGTTGTGTAAGTTTTTTTTGATACAAAATTCAGCACTGAAAATTTCAAAATGGCGGACTGAGGGTTTGCCGAGGTGGACGGTTTTTCTTACATCTCAGTAGCTAATTACCATAGTATATCAATCTTCTTCTTTTGAATTGGTTTATATAAATATGCAATAAAATTTGAGGCATTCCATTTAAAAAATCACAACTTTGATATGTAAGTCAAAAGGTCATGTATAACATGCCATAAATAGAGATTTTTCCAAAATGTATTTGCTTATGAGTAATATTCCGTCCGCACATGGATGGGCCACCCTATATCTATATATATATATATATATATATATATATGTCTTACAATTATTTAGTGAAAATAAAATAAGAGTATGTAGTGATAAATTATTGGTAAAAAAATGGTCGCCTAGAAAAAGCCGACGAACCACCCCCTGTCTATTTGAAAAAATCAAGAAAACTGAAAAAATTAGTGTTTGTAACTTTTGTAAAATCTTTAAAACAACTTTAAGGTCGTTCGCCTCAAAATCGTATTTTCCCGTGTTATTTGATCAAAAATGAAGCGTTTTACAGGATCCATAGCATTCTAGATCGAAAAATTAAAATGACTTTATTTGTCAAATATTGAGAAGTGAGGCGTTGTTGAGTTCAGAATGTCATTCTCGTTCGAAATAAGTAAAAACGTATAGTGTTTCCTATGAAAAAATCGAAAGGTGGAGTCGTTGCTGGTCAAACCGAAAATAAGTCAAAGCAAGTGAATATGTCCAAAAATGTAAATTCATCTAACACAGGGGTTCCCAAATTGTGCGACGCCCGGGGCGCCGTAGGAAATAAAGAGGGGCGCCGTGAGTCGATCCTCTATCTAACATTATCGGAAACTACAAATATACGCGGGTCCCTCTTTATTACATAGCGTCCTAAATCCATTTTTCGACCATAATGACAAGAGATTTTAAATTTGCAACAACAATAGGTATACTTTATCTGAAGTCACTTGAAACACTGTGAAATACCGGGTCCGTTTTATATATCTATATTTAACACGCTCTGTTGCTGCAAAAATCGCCAAATTTCGCAGCAAATATAATAGATCAAAGGCAGTTTCACCGGTCCACGTGGAGTAAAGCACGCCTATGCGTGGACATAGCCAATGAGAAAGCGTGTATTTCAGAGCTCGGAACAAGTGCAGGTGGCTACTGAAAATTGAAACAGTTTAGCCAGTGCCGTGTAGCGGTGAATAAACGTGTTTTCTTTAGTCTGTCCGTGTTTTTTCATAGATTTTATTAGTTTGTGTGTTTTTGACTTTTGAATACTCAGTTTACTTGTTGATTTAATTGTTGTGTTGATTGTTCTTGTGTGTCCTAAATATGGCTCTTTGGAGACCTTGGGAAAATGCTCCAAGCCACGAGGAGATGGTTGATGAACCTGTGCAGGCAGAATTCTTTCATAAAGATTTAGAGGAACAGACCCAAAGAGTAATCCTAAATATGTATGATTGTCTGAAAAACGAAAATCCAGATTCCTCGCAAAATCAAATTTTAAACAGAATTTGTATCCTGACAAAAATCAGTCGGTCTACCATTTATCGGGTTATAAAAAGGGGAGATGTAGTCAACCATTCCTTCCACAGAAAGCGCATAGGGCAAAATTAAAAAGAATAGACGTGGGTTTTCAGGAAGATATTCGTCGTATAATATACGGATTTTATAAAGAAAATTTGGTGCCCACGTTGGAAATGATACGGGATAAATTAAAAGATTATCCTGAAGATTTTTATAATTACAAATACTTAGACTCACTGCACTGTATTGTAAAACTGTGTGGTTTTCAATACAAAAAATTAGATAAAAGAATGGTGATTATGGAGTCGTCTCGAATCGTTGAATTGCGCCAAGAATTTTTGCACAAAGTTAAAATCTATAGAGAGCAGAAAATAAATCTGATTTACCTGGATGAAACGTGGTATGATACCCATGATGTTGTGTAGTACGGCTGGGTTGACGACAGCAACAAGTGCATTTTAAATGCACCATGCAACCGTGGAAAACGAATCATTATTCTCCATGCTGGCAGTGAAAATGGATTTATACCTAATGCCTTGCTGTTATCTGCCAAAAATATCAAAGAATCATGTGCCGACTATCATGAGGACATGACCTCCGACTTATTTGAAAAGTGGATAGAGCAGCAGTTAATACCAAACATTTCCCCAAATTCAGTGATTATTATGGACAATGCGCCATACCATTCCCGACAGAAAAACAAAATTCCGAATACAGGCACAAAAAAACAAGACATTATTGATTTTATGAAGGATAAGGGAATGGAAATACCACAAAAATCAACCAAAGCCATATTATTGGATCTTATTAAAAGACAAAAATTTGAAAAAGAGTATGTTGTTGACAATCTGCTTCAGCAAAATGGCCATGAAGTATTACGTTTACCTCCCTATTACTGCATTTTTAACCCG